GGGAAGCTTCATTGGTTTTTCCAGGGTTAAGCCAGTGGCTGTGTGAAGCATAACTTGGTGATGCAGCATCCTTTCAGATGTAGTGGTATTAGGAATTTTCCTTTCCTTTGCGTTTTCATGGACATCAAGGAATGGTATGAGGGAGTTTCTTTCTGATGTGTCCATACTGACCCCCACTCCCAGCACCACCCCTCACCCTCAGCCGCCCCTCTGGCTGAGCGGAAGGGAAGAATAAAGGCATCTACTGTTCAGAACGGGAGCCAGGGGAAGCAAGGTCAGCTCAGCACCCCAGTCCTGCCAGAGTGCCAGCATGGGGTCACCTAGAGCCCCGGTGTGCGTGGAAGCTGCGTGTGTGCGTGTGCACACACCGATGCCAATTCCAGATGACTGCTAGTAGAGCGAAGAGAAGGATGCATGCTGAAGATTGCGTTCGCTCAGGTTTGTCTCTGATGGAGGCCACCCGTGGGCTCTTTCCCCCAGTCAAGTCCGCGTTTTCGAGTCACTAATTTGTAACCATCCCTTGAATTCCCATGACGAACCGACCCTGGTTAAAGCGGACCTTGATTTATGCAAAGGCTGAGAAGAAGTGACTATGTAAGTCTCAGCGGGAGCTAGAAACCTCCTCAGTCAAATACTTTTTTTCTCAACATCCTCCAAATCGTCTTTCTTCTCTATTTTATATTCTCCGAGAGCCGCTTAGGGAGGCGATGGGATCAGTCAGGGGCATGTACTTAGATGCTTGAGTTCCCAAGTATTTCAGAGGTTGTTTGTACTAAGGACAGATTAAGCTGGAAGTTGTAGTCTGGAGGGCTTTTAGAAAAGAGAAGCCTTTAGGCAATTAATGGCTTGCTCCGTCCCGTTGTGCCCGTGCGAGGGGCAGAGGCGGGGAAGTGGTGCAGCCATTTATAGCAACTGGGTAAATGAACCGTAGTTAGAAGTAGAATTTATGAACTGTTTGCTCAACTGGTAATTAGTTGGAGATGTAAAGCCACGAAGTGGAGATGCTCATGCAACAACAGAGCCAGAGTTATGATGTTGTCGCTTTTCCCTTTGGAGTGGCAGCCTGCTCTGCCACAATTAAGGAAAATCAGAAACAAGACGCATCCTGATCAGCCAAACAAACAGCAAGCCTCTGCACTGGTGCTGGGGAGGGACCGTGGTGTGAGACCAGCTTCAGCAAGAAAAGGTTCCCGGGCCTTCGTCTCGAGCCCTGTGAGGACAGGGTGGTGTGAGCCAGCTCAGCTCTGGCACCTGGCTCCAGGCTGGGAACGGGCTCCACTTCTGGCCTTTCAGCCCCATGGGGAAGTACAAGCAGGAGAGCTGCAGTCCAGGCAGAAAACAAGACCTTATTTCAAAAATAGGCAGTGTAAAAGGGAATGGGAGATTGCACCAGGTGGTAGAACACCTTCCTAGCAAGTGTAAGGCCCTGAGTCCAAAAAGCTATGGGATGGACGAAGGTTCTGGAGGCTGGCAGCGAGATCTGCAGAGATTTCAAAGAATGAGAAGGTGTTGCATATTTTCAACAGCTAGAGGAAATGATTGTGTGCTCAGTATAAATACCTGGTAAGTGTCTGCAGGGACATTTACAAGGCGGATACATGATCAGAACGCCACATGGTAACCTGTAAGAAGTAAATTTTCTGTGTTGTGTCCAGCAGTTTCAACTCAGGGATTTGTGCCCGACTAGGCTGGTGCTACACAGCTAACCATGCCTCCAGCCCCTAAAAATAAGTTACACTATAAAAAAGCAGCAGCACAGCCTGTCATCTGTTGTTAGTCAGTGGGAACTGCAGGAGCGGCGGCCAGACTCGGCGCTGACTGGCTGGGGCAGTGGACTCTTCCTTCTGGTGGGCCGCGCGTGGGGAGGGTGGGTCCCGTGTCCGGCATCTCCCTGCCTCATCCACAGCTTCCCCAGAGCGAGGTGCCCCAGGCACGTGCTGGGGAAACCGAGTTTCTTGACGTATCAGAGGTACACACTTGAATGAGCCCTGGTTCTTTCTTAATTACCGTCTCTACCTAAGGACAGTTTCTGCGACAGGTTGAAAGTTCGCAGACAGAGCTAATATCCCATGTGTGTGACTGTCCTATTTTTGCATGCCTGTTTACTTGCATTTCAAAGGGAAGTTGAGGAAGGTGGCCGCCTTTCACTGAGCATGAGCCTGGCGATGGGAAGTGTGAAGCCACTTTGTCCCCATTCCTGTGGCCCCAGCATTCCACGTCTGGGGGAACGTGGGACTGTGTGAGCGGCTCAGGACTGTCACTGCTCAGGAGGCTCCCCCCCCCCCCCCCCCCCCCCCGCCCTGCAGGTGAAAAAAGCCATTCTGACCATCTCATTGCTTTCGGAAACGTTCTAAATCACCAAGGAAGTTAAACGATGCGTTCTTGACATAGGAGTGCTCATTATGCGACTGCTTAGACACTAACACAATCCGCGACCTCCAGGGTCTGTGCTGTTTTATGTTCCCAATATGTAAAAGACGCTGTCAGGAGGACAGAGCCGCGCAGCTTGCTCGTTAGCGGACACAGCGTGGAGCTGGGGGCCAAGCAGGACACCAGTCCTAATCACACCCGTGAATCCTCTTCCCGACATGTGCAGGCAGCTTCCCCAGTGATGGTCTTGTAGGGCTGTTATGAAGAATACGTTTTTCTGTTTGTCTGGGAGTCAGTATGTGAGCTTGATCGCCGTTGCCTAATAAACACAACGTGGATTCCCACTGGAAGTCAGCGTGTTAAAGGGGCGGAAAAGTCTAGGATTCTGAGCTCCTCTGGTGAGCAGGGAAACAGTGCAGGGAATTTTGGGCAAGTCTGTGCTTAGATTACAGACTCGTAAAAGGAAGAGCATTCTTGAATATTATCCTTCTACAGGTAACTGATAATTTTGTGGGTCTGGATTTCCTAATCACCCAGTGAGTTATGCTTCCTTTTTCCATCTCTACCTAGATATGAAAACCAATGCTTGAAGTACTTTTGAAAGTCAAAAATTCAAAGTATCTTTGAAACACAGGTGGCATATTTGGAGATGTTCAGTGATGGCTCACAAGGGCTGGCAGAAAGGAAGCAAAATGTACCAGGCGGGCCCTGAACAAAATATAGTAGGCTGCTCCCTGCCGGATCTCCTCATTCTTCCTTTCAGCCAAGACTGCCCTCAGAAAGTACAGAAGTCGAGCATGCGATGGTGAAGACTTAATGCGTGTGCACTGCTGGAGAGCTTCGGGATGATTATATTTGAACAGAAGTTAATGGCCAAGTAATGGAAATAATGAGCTGGAGAGTGATGAGCGGAGCCCAGGAACGAGGCTGGGAGTCCCCGGAGCTCCGAGCCCCGGCGCCCGGACAAGTTCCAGCGTTCGTAGGAGGCCGAGTGACCGTGCACTGCGATCCTCACACGCACCCCGGCCAGGTCTGGGCACTGCCAAGCGGAGGGACGTCTTCAGAGGCTTCATTGCTTCTCCGTTAGTCCTCAGGCACTGAATGCACTCACCGCGCCGAGGAGGGGAGATGGAAAGACCCAGCCCGAGGGGAGGAACCCACCCGGGACAGGGAACCAGGGCGGAGGGAAGGGGAGGACAGGAAACAGAGGCTCAGGGACTCCCGGAAACCAAGAGCCAATTCACACCCTCCACCCAAGTAACGCCGTCGTCCCAGACTGGCCCTCGCACATTCTTTTCTTAATCACTTAATCTTAATGACTTTGCTATGAAAAATGGAGGCTAAAGTTCAAGGGTCAAAGTTTGAAATAGCAGTCATTATGTCCGCCACTGCTACTACTACCACCACCGTCATCACCACCATCATCATGAACATCATTTCATCATCACTATCATCATCTCGCGATGAGAATGAGCAACACCAGCCCGTGTATTTTCTATGCAGAATTTCATTCAGTTCTCCCAACTCCAGTTTCACACGGAGAAGAGTGGATAGAGTTCTCCCAACTCCAGTTTCACACGGAGAAGAGTGGATAGAGTCTACGGTTAGAGTCTACAGTGCTCACTAGGACAGCACAGATCTTCAGGGTAGAGCCCAGCCAATAATTAAGCAAACCATTCCACACAATAAACAAACAAATTAAACCAGTGCATCTCACTACTGACAGGAAGCAAAAGCCTTAAGAAAGATTTCAAGTGTTAGGTTTAAACAAACCTAAATGTTGACCTAGAGATTATGTATTGGAGTACTTACCTCCACAAAACATCACAATCTGAGCTCCTGACTTGAGCTCACAGAAAGTGAGCCATGTGCAATGCTACTTCCTCCCAGGCCGAGTACCACACCAAAGTGCACCGTCGCTGATGACGGCGGCAGGAGCGGACGCGGAGAGCCTGTCCTCACGTCCTCCCTGCGCTCCTGTGCGACCCTGGCCTCTGCCGGCCACTGACTGACGCTCACATGCAGCATGGGCTGCTGCCCAACTCACAGCTGCCCGTGGCCATCCAAGCAGCCTGCACTATTTTTGTTGGCCATATTGAAAATAGAAAGGCAAAGCCTGGCTGGAGTTCACCCGGCACCAATCCCATAATCAAAGAACTATCCAGCAGACCCAGAATGTGCTCGTGCTATGTTAATGCTAACAACCACCGAAAACACAACCCTCATCAGGGCCCAGGTCACTGGGGATTCCAGTACAAAGGACAAAATGCAAACCAAAACCCACTGGCCAATTACATTTCTCGCTTTCTTCAAAACCCAGTGCAATTCTTTCTTAGTCAGGAAACCCAATGGAGGGAAGGGAGTTTGACCTCTCTATAGTCTACCATCTATCTGTACTACACACACACACACACACACACACACACACACACACACACACACACACACACACACACACACACACACACACACACACACCCTATCTACATTGAAAACGCACCCGTCAAACAAAAGTCCACTTCAACCGGGTGGGGAAGTATCTCAGGGTCGTAGGACTCATGGCCTCTGCGCGCCTTCGACCTCAGAGGCCTGGTGCTGTGAGGAGAGCGGAACACAAAGCGGCTTCTGACCTTTTGTTCTCTCTGAGCGCTCTGTCTCCCTTCCGCCACGAGATGGTCGGCTTCGGAGAGCCCTGGGGCTGGCACTCCAGGACCACCTCCCGGTCTCTGGTGACCACGACAGTCCTCTTCAGCTGACTTGGCGCAAAGGTGGGAGGGGAGGCTGTGCGGGAGGAAAGGCCATTCACTGGAGGCAGGGACGTCCTCTCCAGCGAGCGGCACGCCGCAATTCCTGCCCCTTTTATCCAGTGTCATCAAACCACACAGAAAAAACCTCCATGGCACGGGTACGGGATTCATTACTACAATGAGATACCTGCTGGCTGCCAGGAGATAATGGCGTCTTACAATGTGGAGTTCACAGATAAAGGCCATTTCAGAAGCTAGCTTGCTAACTGGTGATACCAGCTCCACTTGTGAAAGACTCATGGATAACGTGGAGAGGTCAAAGGACCCGCTCTGATGGATAACCTGGGGAGAGGTCAAAGGGCCCTCTAAGGATGTCTCTCAGTGGTTCTTTGCGATGATGGAGGGAATACCTAGGACAATTCTGTGTCTTCCATTTCCCACCTTAATCAGTACTGGTGCTTCATTAACACTGATACAGGGGCCTAACTTGGGGCTTTACCTTTCCTTCATCTATCTCTCTCAGGGCTGCTACTCTACCATCTGAACCACACTTCCAATATGGCATTTTGCTGGCTAATTGGGGGGTGAAGTCTCTTAGACATTTCTGCCCAGGCTGACTTTGAACCACAATCCTCCAGGTTTTAGTCTCCTGAGTTTGGTACACTCCAAGGGCAAGCCAGAGCACTGGCTTTCCACTCTACTTAATTTGATCCATGTTTTATTGGAAAAGTCCCACAAACTGCATGTTACTTTAAAAAGAAATAGGATTATCGTAATTTCAGTTTAAATTTTATTCAGGCTATTGCAATTACTCATCTAAGTCACTGACATTAAGATCCTTCTGTGTGAAGGTATCTGGGGCACTGCTTTATATCAATGTAACAATTCTCTGAGCATTTCAGTCATAGTTTATGTTCATACGATACCAACAGAATGTGTGACACAACCTTAAAAAGATACATTAACCAGTATTAACAACAATATAAAAAGGTATATATGTTAAAAGAATCTATTTCATTGACAGACAGAAGACACTGAAGAAAAATGAAGGGACTTACGGGAATAATTCAGGTAACATCTTTGGTTGCTTACGGTGAATAGAATTAAAGATAAACTTGAATGCATATATATAGTGAATAAGAAGGCTTGGGAGTGTTCCTAAGAAAATCACAGAGTGTGGATGAAATCGGCTTTTTAACTCCAAGACGTTAAGAGTAATAGTTAACAAAAGAAATAATCTTTGATTTTTCTAAAATATCTGGGAAAATGAAATGGAATCTTGTATTTACTGAGCACTGATTTTCCCAGTCTCATCTTCTGTCTAGTTTAGGAAGACAAGGTGCAGGCCACCATACCCAACTTTGGGCTGAGAAAGGGTCTTGTCAACTTTCCTGGCAGGGATGGCCCCAAATGGTGATCCTATGTAGCTAAAATTACAAACACAAATCACTGGTACCTGGCTTTGTAAAACCTGACTGTTAATTCTAAATCAAAGCTATATTGTATGACCCATCTAAGAATAAAACTACAGTTAGAACACCATATAAATAGCATAGATGTGGGTCAACAGGACAAAAGTAAACTGCCTTCTACAGTTTACAGAAACAGCACAACACAATATTTCTTGTTAAGTCATAAAGTAGGCCTTTAGAACTGTATCATAAAACTTCAGTATCGTGAGAAGTGGAGCATGAAGAGCAGCAGCCATTTTCCCCCTATTGATCTGCTTGGAAATCACATACCTAGAATCTTCAGCTGGGCACTGGCATGAATGGCTCCGTATTCATTCTCAGCCAGACACTGGTACATCCCCGCATCAGATCGGTTTACTCCGTGGATTGTCAGCACTCCGTTGACCATATCAACCCTACTCTGTAATGGGGAGAAAAACCAGACCCAGAGAAGATGCAGCTACAGTATACTGTATGCACACAACTTCCAGGACCAAGGAACAAAGGCCTCAATTTGTAGTAAGACATCATTTGGCAAATTTACTGTTGACTGTCCTGCTGTCTGTTGTACATTATAGTAAATTACATATTATGTTTTATACACACGCGCGCGCGCGCGCACACACACACACACACAGAAAGCAGGGCTGCGGGGCTCCTCCGAGCAGGCTTTGTTGGGTGGACCTGCAGCTGAGGCTCTCCTGGAGCCATTTCTCCCTGCGGGAGCAGTAGGCTCTGGCAGAGGAGGGGTGAGGGTGGAGGGGGAAGACCTAGGTCTAAAGTCACCAAGGACTCAGGCCATGGTAATCCCTCCACCACTGGTCCAAGAAGCTGCCTTTCTTTCTTCCCAACCAGCACAAATAGAAACTGCCCTGCAGTTGGGTTGTATAAAATTATTGGTCAGGAGATACCATTAAAAGAAGAAACTGGGTACAAGAGACAGAAGACCAGACAGGTACAAACTGAAATAAACAGACCAAAGAGTGACTTTCAACAATTGAATTTTACTTCTAAAATATAATTAAAGAGCCAGGTGTCTGGCACTTCATAAGAAGCAAGTCGTTTAAAATATGTTAGCGAGCAGTGCTTGATCAACGAAGCTGTCAAGAATTTGAGAACGTTTTCAAAACAAAGCATTCACTTAGCAAGCACCTTATCTGGAAACGGGACAGGGGCAGCGCCTTCTCCAGGGCCTCCTCCTCCTCCCAGGGCCTCCCCCTCCCAGGGCCTCCTCCTCCGCCCAGGGCCTCCCCCTCCCAGGGCCTCCCCCTCCCAGGACCTCCTCATCCCAGGGTGGCCTCCTCCTCCCAGGGCCTCCCCTCCCAGGGCCTCCTCCTCCCAGGGCCTCCCCCTCCCAGGGCCTCCTCCTCCCAGGGCCTCTTCCTCTGCCCAGGGCCTCCTCCTCCCAGGGTGGCCTCCTCCTCCTCCCAGGGCCTCCCTCTCCCAGGGCCTCCTCCTCCCAGGGTCTCCCCTCCCAGGGCCTCCTCCTCCGCCCAGGGCCTCCTCCTCCCAGGGCCTCCCCCTCCCAGGCCAGCCTCCTTCTCCCCAGCTGGCCTCCTCCTCCCCAGCTGGCCTCCTCCCAGGGCCTCCCCCTCTCAGGGCCTCCTCCTCCCAGGCCAGCCTCCCCGTTCCAGGCTGGTCTCCTCCGCCCAGGGCCTCCTCCTCCCAGGGCCTCCTCCTCCCAGGGCCTCCTCCTCTGCCCAGGGCCTCCTCCTCCGCCCAGGGCCTCCTCCTCTGCCCAGGGCCGCCTCCTCCCAGGCCAGCCTCCTTCTCCCCAGCTGGCCTCCTCCTCCCCAGCTGGGCTCCTCCCAGGGCAGCCTGGGAGAGTTAAAGAGCTGTAACCACCCCCCCCCCCCCTCGCTTGCCTTCAGAGCTTTCCATTTTGTTTTCTGTGTATCTGGCTTCTTGTGCAATTGTGTTTTATTTATAGGTTTAGCTGGGTTTAGAATAGAGGGTGTTAGAGACAAAACGGTGGCATGGAGGTGTGATCCAGCTTCCTTATAAACAGGACGGGAGGCTGTGAGAGGCAGGGCGCAGCACCGCTCCTCAGCCAGCAGATCCCAGGGCAGGACTGGGGCTCAGTCTCAACTGTACACTTGTCCTCATTTTGTCAGTAATAGTGGCCTGTTTCTCTCTCTCTCTCTCCCCTTCCTGCCCACAATCAAGGCACAGAGCTGTTAAAATTTTGTCGTCATCGTTCTGCACTTAGGTGGTAATAATCAATTTAAACCCAGCGCACCCCAGTGGTTTTCCACAGTGCAGCGGACGTGGTAGGGGCACTCGTGTGGGAGGTACAAGTTGTCTGGACGCAGGACGCGGGGTGGACTGCAGTCCTGCTTCACCAGTCCGTGACGCAGGCTAGTCCTGCGCTTGGGGAGAGTAAGGCCGTCCCACACAGAGAGGGCAGCAGGCTTCCGGCACTGACCCTCAGCCACCAGACTGTCACCATGGTACTTACTGAAGGGTCCCAAGTAGTGACAGCCTGAAACACTCACATTTAATGTACTACTCAAAAAACTTGAGAAGGAATCCTTACTTGTATATTTGTTTTATTTCTCACTTCAAATCTATGAGAAGACAGAAGTAGGAAGAGACTTCCAATAAGCAGAACAGGCTGTCCTGGGTCCCAGGGAGGGGGCAGCCGAGGGGGAAGGAGGGACACACAGCCATGCTTTATGCACGCGTGTGAGGTAGAACAGTACTTTGTGTGTGTGTGTGAAAGCGGGAGGAAGCGGCTGGTAGAGGGCCGGGGAGAGGTGCGTGTGACTGGGCACAGAGGCGCGTGTGGGAATGTCACAGACAGACCGCCTTGTGCAGCCAAGCGATGCCAGTGCACTTCTCTGCACACCCTGCTCCCCGCCGCCCGCCCGCAGACGTACCTGGGGCGGGAGCGGGGCGCCGTCCTTCAGCCAGCGGTAGGCCGGCCGTGGCTGCCCCGCGGCCCTGCACTCCCATCGCAGGCTGCTGCCGCTGTCCAGCTCCGTGTCATTCAGCTTCGCCACCCAGTGCGGATAGGCTGTGAGGAGCAAGCGTTCAAGAAAGGTGAGTCCAGGTCCAACACTGCAACACGGCCAAAATTCACATGGAAAATTCCATTGTGGCTTTAATTGTGTGTTTAGCATTTCACATAAACACAGGTGCTTGCAAGAGGCAAGAGGCACAATACGGAGTTCTGCACAGAACTGCATTTCTGATGACACCAACACAGAAGAGGAGACGTGAAACGTTTTTTAACCTGAGACTTTCACAGAGTGGGCAGGTGATGCAAATCTGTGTGTGTGGGTAGCAGGCCTGTATGTGCTTCATATGTGGCTGTGGTGTGAGCCTGTGTGCACCTGTGCATCTGTGTGCACGTGTCTCCTGTGTATGTGTCCATGCATGTGTGCGTCTGTGTGCACGCGTGTTTATGTGCCCGTGTGTGTACTTCCGGTAGCTGGGAGTGCCTCCCAGCACAGGGCCTGCTCCGGGGCAGTGGGATTCTCACAGAACCACAGCAGTCCTGGCACAGACAGACGAACCGCACAGCCCTACAGTGAGCAGGTTCTCTGCTTTGGCTTTATTCCTCACAGAACCTGAACTGGTTTAGAAGATTAACTTATAAATGCAAATCTTACTAAGCACAAAACTTTTCCTAATTTTATATACACGTACTTCCCATGTAAGTTATAAAAAGGTTCTCAAAGCTGGGTGCCAGAGGCTCACGCCTGTAATCCTAGCTACTCAGGAGGCTGAGATCTGAGGATCGCAGTTCAAAGCCAGCCTGGGCAGGAAAGTCCATGAAACTCTTATCTCCAATAAACTGCTAGAAAACCAGAAGTGGCACTGTAGCTCAAGTGGTAGAGCGCTCGCCTTGAGCTGAAGAGCTGAGGAACAGCACCCAGGCCCAGAGTTCAAGTCCCACGATTGACAAAAAAAAAAAGGTTCTCAAAAGTTTAGCAGAGGAAAAGAAATTCCTTTCCTAAAAGGTGAAGCTGTAATCCCTGTACAGAATCTGTGAGGTGTGGGCTCCAGGGCCTTTCCTCCACCGGCCAGCGTTCAGAGTGAAAGCTTTGAACAAAAGCAGTTCTTCCTCCAGGTATGTATTGTCTGTTGGAAACAGCTGAAAAGCATGAAATACTTAACTGAATTTTCTTTCTAGTCTCTATTTTGATAAAAATGTAACAAAATAAATCATCTGTGGAGGGCTGGGGCAGTGGGAGCTTCGAGGAGGCTGCTGGTGACTGTGCACGTGGGAGGCAGGGAGGCGGGTAGTGAGGCCCAGGCGAGGGGCTCAGCCGCGCGGCGGAGGCCTCTCTCAGTGCTGGGGCCTCTCTCAGCGCTGGGGCTCGGCTGTCTCTCTCAGTGCTGGGGCCTTTCTCAGCGCTGGGGCTCGGCTGTCTCTCTCAGTGCTGGGGCTCGGCCGCGCAGCCGAGGCCTCTCTCCAGTGCGGGAGTGTGACAGCACAGCGCCAGCACGGCTCCACGCCAGGTCAGAAGGCAGAGAAGAAAGTTCACTTATTGAATGCTAGCTGCGGACCTGCCCTGCCCCAGTCAAACTCGTTTTCCGAGATCTCCAGACTAAGGACAGGCTGCTCCGCGTCTCCATTGTCCAAGCCAGCGCGTGGCTGGTGGGCAGAGCCTGGCCACCGAGCCCTGCAGTTGGTCTCGGGCAGGAGTTCTGCTCTGCGGGCTTTTGTTTAAAGCTCATTGGTTTTGTAGCCAACGTGTGCTTGTTTTTGTTTGGCATCGAGTGGCCATGAAACAAGCTCATTCTGAGCCTCCGAGCTGCCATTTTAAAGCTGTACACAGCGATGCTCCCACGCAGCTCCTGGGTTTTGCGCCTGTCCTGCCATCAGCCTCCCCACAGTCTCCCACCGTGGCCCTGGAGTGGGGCGGGAGGGGGAGGCTGGTGGTCCTAGGACTCCCCTGTCACAGGCTGGTTCCCGGCCCCCCTCGGCCACCCTCGGTTACTCTCTGCACAGTCCTCGTGGCCGACTGCCAAGCAGACTCTGTTTTCCTTATACTACCCACTCCACACAAAACCTCCGGCTTCTCTTCTTGTCTGTTCCAATGTCTACCTACAATTCAAGGTCCAGCATAAGCCTGGTGAGTATCTGGTGTATACGGCCACCTCATGGAGTCCCCAGGTCCTTTGCTAATCAGCTCAACTCCTGGTCGCTTGAGCAATGACCAGCTGAAGCTTCTCAGCACGCCGTTGCTGGCATTTCTGGCAGTGACAGGTGGGTGTCTCGCATGTGGCTGTTTTGCCCTGGGATAGCCCTGGTTTAACTCTGTGCCAAGCAATGGGCTGGCCATCTGTACTTGCACTCCTGTCCACAGCAGTGAGAGCAACCAAGACAGTGCGGCACGCCATGCTCCATTTGTGTCTCTGGATGCACGCACAGCGGTGAACACAGCTGTGGCTAACTGCCCTCATAGAAAAGCTCTCAAGTACACACACTCATACTGCCCCACCCAAGTGAGGGGGGGTTAACAGATCATATTAGAATGAAGTGAGGCTCCACATCCGAAAATCAATTCCATGTCATTGTTGCATGAACATCACGCTGCATGAACAGGAAGGTGGTTTAATGTGAGTTGCCATCCTTTGTGACATACTGGAACATGTAGGTTGCATTTCATACAGGATCGGGTCGGCATTACCAAAGCTTCCTTTTAAACACGGCAAATTATTTCATGAGCTACTCTGAGGCCCAAAACTAAAACATACCACACAAAAGGACAGTGATAGACAAAAACATTGCCACACACTGATTGTACCAAGAAAGGGTCTGTCTCAGGCCATCCTATGAACAAGGCTGCACAGCAGATATTTAGAACAACAAAATGGACAGTTATGAGAGATCTAAAACACACAGGGCTCTGCTAGCAACTTTGTTAGAAGGGTGCAGGTAACGAAGAGCCCGGGGCCTGCTTCTGATCGGTAGTGTGGCCGTCACACACAGACCGGGCTTGCACTGTGGGGAACCCACCCACCTGGAGGGATGACACCCCGGGCCCTTCGTTAGTCTGGCTCTGTCAGGCACCTCTCCCAGGCTGGGTGCAGGGAGACGCATGGCCCTTTAAACTCGGAAGCCATGAGCAGCTCACCAGATGCAATGCATTTGAGCTTCGATCTGTCTCCTGGGTACACCTCCCTACAGGGAACGGATGTGTGTACAGAGAACTCTCCCTCTGTATCTCATGTCATTAGGCCTTCTGTAGCTCTGCTGATGAATGCTAGACATGGTGGCCTCTCCCTTGCTCCTAAGGGTTGAGGAGTCAATGTGTTTTAACCACACAGATCAGGTTTCATCTTAGGACTCTCACCCAGACACAGAGAAGTAATGTGCTATGCTGGAAACATATTCAGCAGAGGATGAAGACGGGTTCAAGTGCAGTACAGGAATCCCCCTGCTCGAGTTCCTCCACTTCGAGTGCTGTCTGTAAGCTGTGTAGAGTAATTGCTACCACCACGGGCTGCTCACAGAACCCACCATAATCAGGACTGGCTATTTACCTCCACTTCACTAGCTTCTGGAAGTGTGAACACATACATGACTCAGTTCTCCTAACAGCTCAATTCAGTGTAACAGCTCAATTCTTCTGCAAGAAATTTCAAATTTCAAAAATCTACAACTTTAGATCACTTCTTACAGTACATGGGTGTTTCTACAGCTAAAGTACCGTGCGAGGCCTACCTAAAGAGGTAGGCACAACTTGAAAACGGGGACTGGCCGGGCAGGGCGTGGGCCACAGAGATTGTGAGTCTCGGCCTAAGCTGAGGCCTAGGATAAGTTAGTGACATTTATAGAATTGTTACCAGGAAAATGACACACCAATGAAGGGTGCGGACCGAGTTAAAGTGTTTCTCTGTGCAGGATCATTTCCTGATGCTTTATCATGCATTACACTCAGCTTCCGGGCACTGCCGGCCACATGTGCATGCGGGGACACTCACTGTAGATCTGCAGCTGGCCCCGGAAGGTGTTTCTGCCCCGTGAGTTCTCGGCCCGGCACTCGTAGAGGCCCGCGTCCTCCAGCTGCAGGTTGGGGATCTCCAGCACCGCCTGCGACTTGCGCAGACGCGCCTTCCCAGGGATGGCCGCGCTCACCTTCGTCCACGTGATCGTGGGGACAGGGCTGCGGGAGGGAATGCAGACACCGTTACCACGCCGGCCCGGGACTGCCGGCCCGCCACCAGCCGTCACCCCTCTGGCCACCTGGGGACCGAGGGGTGCAGCCCATGGGGTGCAGGGAAGTGCAGTCACACTGAGGACCCGTGGCTGACCCCCCTCACGTGACCGGCCTCAGGCTATCTCGGTGGCTGGCCGCGGGCTGACCTCCTCACGTGACCGGCCTCGGGCTGACCCCTCATGTGGCCAGCTCGGGCTGATCCTTCACGTGGTAGGCCTCGGGTTGACCCCTCGTGTGGTTGGCCTTGGGCTGACCCCTCATGTGGTTGGCCTCGGGCTGACCCCTCACGTGGCCAGCCTTGGGCTGATCCTTCACGTGGTTGGCCTCGGGTTGACCCCTCACGTGGTAGGCCTCGGGCTGACCCCTCACGTGGCCAGCCTTGGGCTGATCCTTCACGTGGTAGGCCTCGGGCTGACCCCTCACGTGGCCAGCCTCGGGCTGACCCCTCACATGGTTGGCCTCGTGCTGACCCCTCACATGGTTGGCCTCTGGCTGACCCCTCACGTGGCCAGCCTCGGGCTGACCCCTCACGTGGTTGGCCTCTGGCTGACCCTTCACGTGGTTGGCCTTGGGTTGACCCCTCACGTGGCCAGCCTCGGGTTGACCCCTCACGTGGCCAGCCTCGGGCTGACCCCTCACGTGGCCGGCCTCGGGTTGACCCCTCACGTGGCTGGCCTCGTGCTGACCCCTCACGTGGCCAGCCTCGGGTTGACCCCTCACGTGGCCAGCCTCGGGCTGACCCCTCACGTGGCCAGCCTCGGGCTGACCCCTCACGTGGTTGGCCTCAGGTTGACCCCTCATATGGTTGGCCTTGGGCTGACCCCTCATATGGTTGGCCTCGGGTTGACCCCTCACATGGCCGGCCTCGGGCTGACCCTCTCAGTGGCTGACCCCTCACGTGGCCGGCCTTGGGCTGATCCTTCACGTGGTTGGCCTTGGGCTGACCCCTCATGTGGTTGGCCTCGGGCTGACCCCTCACGTGGTTGGCCTCGGGTTGACCCCTCATATGGTTGGCCTCGGGTTGACCCCTCACATGGCCGGCCTCGGGCTGACCCTCTCAGTGGCTGACCCCTCACGTGGCCGGCCTTGGGCTGACCCTCTAGGTGGCTAGCCGGGGAACAGTGAGATTACAGTGACAGGCTCCATTTCTTCCACAGCCCAGCCAAACAGTCCAAAGTCACATTCCATTTATTTGCAAAGATGTTGTATTTTAAATGACAACAGTGACTTGGAGAAGTTGCCAATCCATACTCATTGTAATGAATCAGGTTACAGATGTGTGGATTAAAGAAGCCAGGGGCTCTTCCCGCCCCTCACGTCTCCACGCTGCCCCCATGCTGCAATTCAATTTGTGTGAGCTTTCCCCTCATCATCTTTCAAAAAATGTCAACCCTGTATCTCTACCTTTAAGTTAGTCACAAGACCATAAACAGTGAATAGAGTTTTGGGTTCTTCTGAGCAATAGCTGCATATTATCCCACTGCAGAAATGCAGTGGGATACCCAATCACCTCTATCAGGCTTTCAATGTGGTACCTGATTATGTTCTGTTTTTCCAGTAATACACCATTATGATAAGCAACGTGGCGCATGAAGCATGCCCTGTGAGTTCGCTTTCTGTGGAGGAAGGCCACCAGCAGTTTTCGTTTTAAGACGCACTGCCACGTCGTCTTCAGCAGTGCAGCAGTGGTTCCCACAGCTGCCTGACCCCAGTCTCCATTCCTCACACCACATCAGCGTTACCCGGCACTGGGATAGCTCCTGGCCACTGATGGGTTAAAAAGGCTATTGTGTTGCTTATTTAATCTCTCCCTGGACTCTAAGCAGGTTTGCTCGGCACTCCCTGAATTGCTTGCTTTTAATATTCTCTCTCATTTTTAACTTGTTTAACTTCGCAGAGCTTGTCAGACCCTGGGTCTCAGGGAGATTGCCCAGGCCTCACTGAGTCATGGGGGCACCTGGGACCACCCCCGCTCCTTTTCTATTTGTCCTTTTACTTTCACAGTTTGTGTGGGTTTTAGTTTTTTTCCTGTTGTCATTTTGTTTTGATCTGTTCCTCCTACATGACTGGCAGTTAGACTTCACTTTTCAGTTAAACACTATGTTTGGCAATCTTTGTATTTTAACAGTCAAATTTGACTTTAATTTTGTTGTTCTAGTGGATTCAATTATTCTTATTCCGTCATCTGGGATTATCAACTACAGAATAATGCATACTTTCATAATAGATGTTAATAGCAATAAGGCTAGGAATTAAAATTATGGATTTAAAATTGATCAAGAAATCTATAAGATGTTAATACTTCTAAATGACTATAAAAATAACTGCATCGATTAAAATAAAATAGAATGTGACAATAAAACTATAATGTGCTACACATATAAAAGCACACACAACTGAAGAGAGTATTTCTTGACAAGGAAGACAGGTCAGTGCTTCCTATCAGAATGAGCCAGCAGGTGCATTGCGCGGGAAGCAGGGAGCGGGAGGGAAGGTGGCCTCAGTGGGCAGGCCTGCAGATGACAGGGGCACATGTCTGGCACACGTCCAGCACACAGAGCAGCGAGGACAGAGGGGCTCCCGGGAGGGAGGGAGCCAAGAAGGGGAGAACGGAGAGAGAGAAGGACACAGAGACAATGAGGCCGGAGAGAAAGAAGCTGCATTGCATCCTAACAGCAATGGCATGTTCTTGAGAAACGACAATGGCTGGCCATCCGGAAGGCAGGACGCCTATCAGGGAGGAAGGAGGCGAAGACACACAACACTGGTCACATTTGTTAAGAGGAGCCGGGGGGGGGGGGGGGGGGCGGGCGGAGAGACCCTGCGGGGGGACTGGACACTCCCACGCTGAGAGCCACCGCGGAGGCGAGAGCACGCGGCGGGGGAGAGGGAAAACGGCGCACTTTTATACAAATGATAAAGCTATACAAGTTTACATCTTGCACGCTTACTGCTAATAATGGAAGCATTTCAGATTTAAACAAAACTCTGGGCAAGTCTGTCTCTAACAGACTATCAGTGCAAAATGACTCAAGAAATAAAGTGTAAGATTCAAGCAGGAATGGTGAAAGATATACTATAACAGTAAGGATAGTAATATCGATAATGTGACTAATACAAAGGGCAAAACTGACCAGAAGATAAATTCCAAGCAAATGCAGCACAGAGCACAGGTGAAGCTCAGCTTTAGCTAAACGTTTCTTTTCTTCCCCCTGGACATGCAACTTGCTTTTGCTCCTTCCTTTCTTGACTCTTCAAGGCTAGTAGCCTAAACTGTTTGCATCTGAGCTGTTAGAAGCTTTGGAGCATGAAAGCATGGCCCAGCACCGATGAGTGCCTAGACACTCACCGGGTCAGCTTCCTGAATTACAGAGCCAGTGTTAAATGACGCCGGTCCAGAGCTGTGGGCCATGCTGATGGATCCCAGGCATCTTGGAAACCCATATTTATGCTTTCTGTGACAACTTAGAGAAATAGCTTGACTTATTCACCTTTTTGGTAAGCACTTGAGGTTTAAAATATATAGTTGACAAAGTAAATTATATCTGGGCATGGAAATTGTACAATAAAATCCCTTTTCACAATAATATGTTAACTAAAAACAGAAAATGTATCAGAGAGCATAGCAAGTTTTTTTTTTTTTGTCGGTCGTGGGACTTGAACTCTGGGCCTGGGCGCTGTCCCTCAGCTCTTCAGCTCAAGGCAAGCACTCTACCACTTGAGCTACAGCGCCACTTCCGGTTTTCTGGTGGTTTATTGGAGATAGGAGTCTCACGGTCTCTCCTGCCCAGGCTGGCTTTGAACCGCGATCCTCAGATCTCAGCCTCCTGAGTAGCTAGGATTACAGGCGTGAGCCACCAGCGCCCGGCTAGCATAACAAGTTTTGAAACATGTAACATGACAATATTATCCAAGACAAATTTCTCCACCTTAATAACCTGAATGTGATGGCATAAAGAAGACTTCAGCCAGGCGCCGGTGGCTCACGCCTGTCATCCCAGCTACTCAGGAGGCTGAGATCTGAGGATTGTGGTTCAAAGCCAGCCCGGGCAGAAGAGTCCATGAGACTCTTATCTCCAATGAACCACCCGAAAACCAGAAGTGGAGCTGTGGCTCAAGTGGTAGAGCGCTAGCTAGCCTTGAGCTGAAGAGCTGAAGGGCAGCGCCCAGGCCCAGAGTTCAAGTCCCATGACTGACAACAACAACAACAACAACAACAACAAAAGGTAAAGCGTAGAGGACTTCAGTGTGCTGGACAAAGAAGCATAGATGTGAGTTCTGACAGCCAGGAAAGGAAAATGGCACCTTTCCCCTTGTTCCATTCCCTTGGAAGTCTGCTGAGCTACGCGCATGACTTCTACATACAACGAGCAACGTGACTTTAAGAAGGTAGATTTCTAGTTAATGCTGTGGTATTTCCGTTTGACTCAAGGGGCTGGGAAGGTGGCTCAGTGGTAGAGCGCTTGCCTTGCATGCATGAGGCCCTGGGTTTAATTCCTCAGCACCACATAAGCAAACAGAAAAAAGCTGGAAGTGGTGCTGTGGCTCAAGTAGTAGAGCGCTAGCCTTGAGCTGAAGAGCTGAGGGACAGTGTCCAGGCCTAGAGTTCAGGCCCCACAACCGGACCCCCCCCCCAAAAAAAGAATATCTATTACTAATAATGGAGCCCCTGGAAGCCATGGACACTGACATAAACCCTTCACTGTGACAGGGTGAAAGCATCACCTGGTGATACACTGGGAGAACTTGGGCCATCGTTAGCATCGTTGCAGGCACTTTTGAAGAGATCATTTTCATACAGACGATGAAGTCATGCGTACAATCTGTCATTGCATAGGAATACTTAGCTGCAAAGATTTAATGATTTCGAAGAAAAGTACTCCCCGACCACAAATCACTATTCAGACAGACTGCAGTTCCGTCTACGGTGCTTCCTGTGCTCCCTG